GTACACAAGACAGATAATCTGTGAGAAAATATGATTATTAAATTATTATATTATTAAAATCTTCAGAGAAAGATAAAAAGACACTTTGGGTTGGACACTCGAAGATAGTTGATAGTTAAGGCCATTTCCCAGGGTCCCAAAGCGTCTGTATTTGACACCTGGGAATGAGACTCAACTATCAATTAACTTTCTTGCCTCTGATTGGTTGCTTTTGTTCAGGCACAGTGGATTTTTGCAAGTACCATTATGAGCACTAGAAGGAGCCAGAAGAACCAGATTTTTCCACAGATTATCTGTCTAATGTACTACTGTCAGAATATAGTGAAAGTGTCAGTATGACAAAAGATATTTTCATAAAAATTACCTACTGCAGTTTTAAAATCTGATTTTCAGTGAAGACAAAGAAACTTTGCATTTTCAGAAGATGTGCTGATTCTTGTAGGCAGCTCTCTAGTGGTCTCAAGGAGTCTGTTTTGGCTAAGGGTATACATGAATGTTATTTATTTTAGGATGAAGGTGGTGAAAAAGAACTCCGAGGCTGCAGGAGGAGAAATTGATATGGAGCGATTTAAACAGGTTGGTTCCTCTGTATTTGTACTAATAACGGTAAAGCTCTGTGTTATGACTTTTTTATAGCAGAATGTTGACTTTTTAAATGTTGACAGAGAATGACTTTTAAAGGACCAGTGTATAGGATTTAGAGGCATCTTGCAGGGAAGTTTCAGATTGCAGTCATTTGAATACAGCTCAGCCTTCCAAGCATCTAGGAGAAACTACAGTGGCTGCAAAAAACACAACAGGTCCTATTTACAGCCAGTGTTTGGTTGGATCATTCTGGGCTCACACTACATTCAACATGGCGGACTCTACCAGAAGATAAAAACTAATAAACTTTTATTTTTAAGTTATCTCATAGACATGGTGTCCCAGCCTTTTCCTTAAGGGACCCCTTTTCTAGCATTGAGTAGACTGACGACATCTGACAAAGTGACATATTTGATAAATATTAACAATACAGAACAACTGATAAACTGTACAACCAACCCAAATAGTGAACACACAATAACTTCGGGACGTTTAAGTAAAACGAGCAGTTTGGAGGAATTTTCTGAATGAGCAGATGATTTTCTGTAAATATTACATCAGAGGTGGGTTTTCTGCAATTCTATGTCTGTATTGTGTATTTTTTATAATTTAACAATCATACATTTAAGCAAACAATTCCATTTACTTTTCGTCACAGACAGAATGCTGAGATATGGTCCTATAATGTATATTTTTTTTTACATTTTATCACATTTCTTTAAATCTTGTGTAGCTTTGGCAACTATTATTGGGGGTCCCGATCCCCAGGTTGGGAACCACTGATATAGAGCATTTACTGAAATACTGATTTTAATTATGATTTGTCATAAAATAACTTACTGTATTGCATGTATCTGTGTATCTGAAGGAAATCATTGAAGAAGTGAAAAAAGAACTTCATAAAGTGAAGGACGAGATAATCAAAGGTAAGTTCTAACCAGTATGTTGTCCGTTGACATTAGTTCAATTCCTGAAACTAGATTCTGTGTCGTGTCATTTTACAGGCTGTGGGGGGAAGCTCATTAAGTATAACACTGAAGGGGGGATTGGTCAAGCACTAAGGTCATGTGACTTTAGGGCAACATTCAAAATTATGCTCATCATTTGTGTCACAATCCAAAATGGCAGTGTACAACAAAACCTGGCCGTGAATTAAAAGTTTTTATTTTTTTATGTTTATTAGATTTTGGGTGGACTTTATTATAGAATATTTTTTTAAGGATGATTTTATATGTTCTTGTTGAAAAATAATGAATTACATTTTCACAACTTTGATAATCAGGCATTCAATGTCTGTATCCTGGAGGATATGGTTACTGGTATAAAACAGTGAGACACATGTTTTGAGGCCTAAACTCAACATATAATCAGTAATAAAAAAGGTGTAAAATATTGATTCATCTTTATTTTTCTCCTAAATGTGTATTATTGATTAGTTCACCACTGTTCACACAAATTTAAAAAAGAGAACATTTTAGACCCTAAATAGGCAATATATCTCAGGAGCTACAATGTGCAAATTGAAAAAATAAAGTAAGAAAGTAGAAAATAGCAATTAAATTTTTTAAATTTTCCAACACTGTGTTATGTGCTAGCCCATTTAAGGGATAAAGGGGATTATTGTTAAAAAAATATATTGTGTTATATATTACTCTGTTTTCTCTTCTAGCACTGATCCAGGAGCAGATAAGTGCGCAGCCAGTGGGTGAAGATTCCTGAAAGACTGAAGAATGAGAGAGAATAATGAATAGATGTGAATGTTTTATCATGCAATGCTCAGGAAATGTACACATTTGTCTCTGATAGAAATAGTTTTATTTTTACAAAGTCCAGCATATGTCTGGAATTTCTGTGCTACAGTTTCTTATGACACAGTACAGTATTATGCAACAGCTACCCATGATCCTTTCTCTTTTTGCATGTGAGAGGATACCCATTGTATCCAACACTGCAGTTTGCCTTTAACAGATTAATGTTCCTCCCTACAGTCATGCTTCCCTTGTGGCATGGTTTGCATAACAACATAAATACACAATACAAAAAACAATAACATGAGATAATAAATGCTACCATGCAGGATTCTTGTCCCATTGTGGTCATTTATGTACTCACATCTGCAAAAAAATGATTACTGTGCAATATTTTAATAATCTTACACTGATGGAAGAACTACTTTGTTAAAGTACTCATTTAAGAGTCAAAGTATTCCATTACAAACTTAAATTAAGTACTAAAGAATTATTAGCAAAATAAAAGAATATGCATAATGGTCCCTCGGAGTGTTCAGAATTTTACATTGTTTTTATGTACTTAACTATAGAAACTACAAACAATTTTTGGCCATAAAGATAGGATTTATTATTTTTATTCTAAGAACTTCAAGCAGCTGATGTGTCACATATAAATGGAATTCTGTTTTGACAAGTAGAATGAAAAGCCTGTTCAAGCTGTTTATACTGTAAGATTGTACAGATGTTACAAAACTGAAGAGTAAGACAGCAGGCCAATTTTTTTTTTTACATCAGTGCTCACATTGGCCCAATGGTATGACAGTTAAATATCAATTTTTTTTTTTTTTACTGTTTTAGTTGTAGTCAGATATTACAAAATGTAAAAAATATAATATATTAGTTTTTAGAATACGTTTGAGTCTCAGGGGCAGGAGATTGTCAGTTTACCTGTGAACAATATCTGGCTATAGTTTTTAATGTTTTGAATCTGAATTTGAATTAACATCACAACTAGTTTTGAAGTCCATCCTGGTCCAGTATCAACTTGTACAGTGTGAAGTAGAAACCTGAAGCCACCAGTGCACATCCACTGAGAATGGACTTTACAGTACATCTTGTGTCCAGCAGGAACACTTTACAAATGATCAACATTTGTATATTCAGAGATTCTGGAATTTTTAATGAGGTAGGTGGAGTAGGGGACTTTTTAATGATTTTATTGTGGATATTAGGCTTTTTTTGTGGAAATAACATATGATTAATCAAACTAGGTGGCAAGTAATTCTTAGCTTACGATGCTTTCAAAGCTTTCAAAGCAGCTTCCCTAACACCAATAACTTATTATTATTATATTACAGTCATATTTCCGAGTAACTAGTAGTGTAACTAATTATTAGTTATTAGCTTACATTCGGCAGCTGGAAATATTCCATTACTTTAATTTTGATAAACAAAACTGGATTTTAATCATTTAAAGTCTGAATTCTGGGGAGAAAGGACACAATTAACAATTTTGTGGGGTACGGAGTAGCAGAGAAGAAATTTAAATAGTAGTGTAATTAATTACTGTTGGTAGTGAGTATAAAGTAAAGTAATGACATTACTTTAGAAAAAATAAGTAGCCCAACACTGGCCTTGTGATCGACAGTCGTGGTCCCATCTCTGCACTCAATCTTACTGACTTTGCGCCGTGTCGCCTGCAGGTGGCGGTGTGTGCACAGAGATCAGCCCCAGCCTATGTAGTCCGAGAAGAAGAGAATCCATGGTGTTTTCCTGGGTGGATGGCCTGCACTGGATCCAGCCTGTCAAAACTGAACTGAAACGAGAGCAGCGTGGGATAAAGTCAATGAAATGTGCGTTAAGTCTTGTTGTTCTGTCATTAAATGTAAAATCAATCGGATTACGATAACATAAATCGAGGAGCTTGTAACTCACAGCTAATAAGAATAGTTACCTGACTAACTTTAGCTCGCTATCAGCAAGGCTAACATACACCAGTAACCTACAAGAAGGCATCCGTAATGTAAGACAGAGTTTGCTAATAATAAACAAACTCTTGCGTTAATCAAGCATTCGTTAGTACAATTACGGCACAGTGATAAACTTAAAAGTATCGTATGGGAAGCATAACTTGTTCTTTCTGGCTGTAAACACTAACTTATTTATGTGATATTAAGCTTTAACGTTAATTAGCAAAGTTGCCTTTAAGTGTATGTATAAAATGTCAGGCTAAGTTATTTGAAGTTCGAACATCTTTTGTTCAGGCTCACTAAATATAGGTCTATTGTCAGACAACAGTTATAAACTATATTAACAATGCCTGATTTTTCTCCTGTAAACGGTTCGTTGAAAGTGTCTGTTCAGTAAAACAAACTTTCAACAGTAACAGTAGTCTGTTAGCATACAGCTAGCCACTGCTAACTAACGTTAAATGGCAGCCTACCTAACAGCCAACAACAACAACAACAACGAGATTAGCTACAAGTTAGATAGTTTAATACTCTGATTTCATTGGCAAGTCCGATTATTGGACTTTATTTGCTAATACTTAAACTACAAGTATCTGTAATTAACCAATGAGCCATATATTTTAGTATTAAGTGTTCATTTCAAGTTGATATACCAGTGTTGCCAACTCACGCGACATAAATGAGCAACCGCAGCTTCAGTGTGACCCACAGCTATCCAGAAGTGACTTATTTGTCATGTGTGACAAAATTAGCAAGATAAGTGTGACCAGCATTACATTAAAATGTCTATGAATTGTTTGAATATAACTTGGTGAGATGTTTGGTACATACCATTGGACAGCAGAGGGGAAATAAAATAACTACATTTTAGACTTTTGTTTTTACCATTAGATCACAGTCACCATATCTAACTAAAATCTGTTTTAATTCTTGATTACAGATTGGCAGCAGTTAGGCAGTCCAGTCATCGCTGCATTTGTTGAATCGGGCAAGAATGGCAAATATTCTCATGTTGAATGTTAAGATTAGCTTATATGTTTTATAATATTTTACATGGATCATCTTTGCACTAGACACCAACCAATATATTGGTCAGCCGACATTATCGGCCAATATTGGCCTTTTGCAGACATATTGGTGTCATATCACATGTTATCTACCATTTAAAGGCTGCCCTGTCAGTGTGAAATGATGTTAATGTTAATAATGTTAATAGTTTTGGGAAGGTGGAGAAAAAGTTAGTTTTGAGCCCTGTACTTTAACTCTCATGCATCCTGCTGTAAACATATGCCTGAACTTCCTGTAGAATAAAATTGCACATTGCTTTTCTTTGTTTTAATATTTCTATTATATCTCAGGCATCAGCAACCCTGCTCTCTAAACATCGACTT